AGTTATATAAAAATAACAAATTTTAATTTAATTTTAATAATTAATCAATTAAGTTAAAATATATAATATTAATGTTAAAACAAATATTATCAATTTTTTAATTTTTTATATAATTTAATTACTAAAAATATATCAATTATATCTTTAATATATACCCTAAAAATATAAGTTAAAAAATTATTAAATAATATTCTTACACGAATTATTTTCAACATTCAACAAACTTTGGCCCATTTCAGGTCATGGCTGATACTGCCTTCCGCTCACATTTAAAAATTAAATAAAAATTTTCCACTCATATGATTCTAGAAATGTATTAATAAAATATTTATTACACTTTTTAATAATTAAATTATATAAAAAATAAAATTTAATTTTAATTTTAATAATTAATTAATTAATTACATCAAAATATGTGATATTAATGTTAAAATTAATAGAGTTTGAACAAGGGAATTATGAATGGCTTGATTTTATTCATGTGTATGCTACACTTATATATACAGGCACACAAGTATAAACCTAGTAACCCTAGTACGAAAGGAAACATAATATAATATACACTAAATCAAAGATTGACATAAATAAGGAGTGGGAATTGCTCATGAAGAGATTGCGGAGATCTTTTCCTTAACACGCCCCTGCAAGTCGGTGAACTGATCTTTTATTCATTTCTATTTTTTTAATAATTGTTTTACGTACACATTATGAATAAATTAATACTGTTAATAAAGGAAACAAGAAAAGCAATCTTGCTTTTTATTATTTTTAAAAAGAAAAGACATTTTATTAAGCGAATATAAGGGAAGGAGAATCAATCTTGTTGGTAAGGTAACAGATGAGTAGGATGTTTTTATTGGTTATAAATAGATGTTTGCATGAAACTAGATGTGCAAATGCAATACAACATAATATCAGGAGACCATGTCTACTCTTAATATTTTTCTACAGCAACTACTAGATGAAATAACACAAACGCAACACATATGGTAGACTATATATCATGCAACTCAGAACTTTCAGTCTCCTGAAAGCGACTAATGTCCTCCCCCAGGACTAGGAACAGACTCTTGAAGATTTCTATCAAACAAGGCACGTGCACTGTGTGGGCCAGTAATGAGCCTTCCATCTTTAGCAATTGCGCGATCATTCAGGCGACGAGGAGTTCCAAGGGCCTTAGGAAGAAGAGCATTCAGTTTTCCCTTGCTCGAGGCTAGTTGTCTCGCCCCAAAGAATCGAACTTGGACGAAAAGAACAATGAGAAAAACAATAAGCATGCTTCTGTTGAAATTAGAAGCCATAATGTTATCAAATGAAATGTGTTAAAATATTCATCACCGACTTGAGCTAAAAGGTGAAGAAGTAAAAGTCTTTTAGAAGCATATATTTTACTATAAAGTAAATTGAAGCCACACAAGAATATATGATGGAGAGAAAGCCACATTAGTTGTGTGTCTAGATTTTTGTATGTATGGTAAATTAAAATATTGCAAACAAAAGAATACTCTAGAATATGGACAACCGGTGTACACCACTAACTTTTGTAAGTAAAAAGAAGAATGAAAAAGAAATAAGATAGCTTGTGTGCGTGAGTTCAATAGAAAAACGTGTTCTGCTATTTCCTTTCTTTGTCAACAAATCTGGTATCAAAGATGGAGGAGCCGTTTGCGACTCCAATCTTGGATCTCAAATAAGTAAAGCGAGCACTGGATAAGGGCTTGGTAAGGCCATCGATGAACTGATCTTTAGAAGAGATATGAGAAACTCAAAGGACTTTGTGGTCCACTAAGTCACGAACAAAGTGCAAGTCGATGGCAATGTGTTTCATGCAAGAATGCATGACTAGATTGTTGCTGAGATAGGTTGCCCCTATGTTATCACAATAAAGCACAGGGGGTGTGGATGGATGGATGCCAAGCTCATGAAGAAGATCAAGAATCCAAACCATTTCGGAGCTAGCTACTGCTAGTGCTCTGTACTTTGCCTCTATTGAGCTTCGTGCTACAGCTCGTTGTTTGGTTGCTTTCCAGGACACTGGATTGGAGCCAAGATACATCACATAGCAGTTGTAGAGATTAAAGTATCCTTATCACCAGCCCAATCAATATCAGAAAAACCATAAAGAGATAAAGAGGCTTGGGGACAAAGTAGAAGGCCATGAAATTTTATACCATTAAGATAGCGAAGAACACGTTTCACTGCTTGCCAATGAAGATCAATAAGGTTAGGCATGAATTGAGATAGTCAATTAATAGCAAAGCATAAATCTGGCCAACTTAGAGATAAATACTGAAGGGAACCAACAATTTGTCTATATGCCGTTGGGTCAGTGAGTGAGTGACCTGAGAATTTTTGAAGAGATGTTGTAGAAGAGAGGGGTGTGCTTACTGCTTTGGCATTTTCCATGCCCGCTCGTTGCAAAATGTCTTGGATATACCATTGTTGGGAAAGAAATAAGCCAACACTAGTTTGAATAGCTTCCACTATGAGAAAGAAATCCAGTTCACCAAGATTTTTCACTAAAAATTTGGAACTCATGGCAGTGATCAAATGGTCAATAGCTGCAAGATTGCTTCCAGTGATAAGTATATCATCTACATACACCAAGACATAAAGCCAATCAGTATTCTGACGATATATAAAAAGGGAGCAATTTGACCTCGAATTGGTGAGACCGTGAGCAAGCAGAAACTATTTTAATTCCCAAAACCACATTCTTGGGGCTTGTTTAAGCCCATAGAGAGATTTTTGTAACCGACAAACATGGTGGGGAAGATGAGGATCAATGAACCTAACGGGTTGTTGCATAAATAATTGTTCATCAAGTTTCCCATGAAGGAATGCGTTGTTGATGTCTAACTGATGAATTTTCCAACCCTTGCTTACAACAATGGAAAGAATGGCTCGGATTGTTGTCAGTTTTATAACTAGACTAAAGGTTTGAGTGTAATCTGTCCTTGGTTGTTGACGGAACCCCTTAGCTACAAGTCTAGCTTTATAACGTTCAACTCGTCCATCCTTGCCTCTTTTCAACTTGAAAACCCACTTACAACCAATAACATTTTGGTTAGGTGCAAGAGGAACAAGATCCCATGTACCTTGACTTACCAAAGCATTGAATTCCTCAGACATGGCCTGCCTCCACTGATGATCTTTCAATGCTTGACTCACACATGTGGGCTCAACTTCAGAACATGGAATTTCAGCAAGGTAGAGTTGCTTTGGTTTAAAATTTTGATTTTGAGAACGAGTGACCATGGGATGAGTTCGGCTGGGTGGGTCTATTGGTTGAAGGGGAGAAGATGAGGCAAAGGCTAACATATGGTTGTTAAGATTGGATGGAGGTGAGTCAATGGAAAAGAATGGAGATTGGGAACGGCTTGTGCGAGCAGGGGAGGATGCTGGAGAAATGGTTGGTAAGGTAGTGGGTGATTTGGGTCAGTCGGGTGTGACAAGTGAGTTGGGTGAGGTAAGGGATGGAGTTTGAGAGAGAGAAGGAGAACGTGAGGGTGAGACGAAGTGGCTTAATAGGGAGTTGGTTGTGGAGGGTACCATGATTGCAATAGGGAAGAGAGGATCAAAGGAAGCTACAGCATTGGGACATGATCCTTGCCAAGTGGACGAAGGGGAAGACCTTAAAGGTAAACGTGGCTCAATGGAGATTGGCATGGTTGGTGAGGAGGTTTCAAAGGAGAAAAGATTGGAACCTAAAAATGAATTTTTCAAAGTGAGAAATGGATGTGGTGTCAGACTTGTGAGAATTAAATGGGAAAATGTTATCATTAAATAAGACATGCCTAGAATAAAAGATTTGATTTGTTTGGAAATCAAAACATTTGTATCCTAAATTTTCTATAGAGTACCCAAGAAATAAGCATTGATGAGAGCGAAATTGAAGCTTGTTTTGTGTATATGGTCGAAGCCGAGGATAACGTGCACAACCAAAAATTCGAAGTTTTAAATAATTCAACATTATCTGAAATAGTTTTTCAAATGGAGATTTAAAGGAGAGAGCAGAGGAGGGCAACCGATTAATTAAGTATACTGTTGTGAGAAAAGCATGAGACCAAAATCTAGGTGGCAAAGAAGCTTGGTGAAGTAAAGTGGGACCAGTTTCAACAATATGTCAATTTCAGCACTCACTTATACCATTAAGTTCAAGAGTATAAGAAGGTGTAGTGAAATGAGAGATTCCATTTTCAAAAAGGAATCTTCGTAATCCAATATATTCACCTCCTCCATCCGAATAGAAATTCTTGATTTTTGTACCAAATTGGTTTTCAACTAAAGCTTTAAATTTAGGGAAAACAAGAGAAACTTTTGATTTTTGTTTTAAAGGGAAGAGCCACATATAACGACTGAAAAGATCGATGAGCAAAACAAAATAGTTATAACCATCAATAGATAAAACTGGAGTTGAACCCCAAACATCCGAATAGATAATTTCTAATGGTGCTTGACTCTTGGCAAAAGAATGACCAAAAGATAGCTTGTGACTCTTTGAACAAAGGCAAGAATCACAAGAAAAATGCTCTACCTTGGATGATGTCAGTAGGCTATTCTCACTAAAAATTTTATTTTGAACCTTTGAGGATGGATGTCCTAACCGAGCATGCCAATCTATCAAAGAGGTATGTTCACCCACCAAAGCACTTGGTTGTGATCTAGATTGGTCCATGATAGGAAACTCATACACCCCATTTTTGTTTTGTCCATGAAGCAATATCGCCCCCGTGCTACAATCCTTCACAAAAAAATTAGTAGTGTGAAATTCAACAATAACATTGGCTGATCTGCATAATTGATAGACAGAAATTAAATTTCTAGAAGCACTAGGTACATGTAAAACATTGTCTAAAGGAAGAGATGTATTTTGTGTGGAAACTATAGTTTGTCCCACTTGTGATTTCCAATCCTGAGCCATCACCGATTAAGAGTTTATCAAGACCAATATACTGGGAATGTAGAGTTAGGTTCGCCAAGTCGGAATTCACATGAGTATTTGCACCTGAATCAATGAGCCAATTATTAGTTAGTAGAGTTATGAGACATAGCTGTAAAAGTTGCCATAGGTGAGTTAGGCAATATACGAAAGTGAGAACAATTTTGTGCCGTGTGGCCTAACTTGTTACACAATTGACATGCCAAGGAAGTATGGTTGCTAGGCTTGTTTATGGAGTTTTGGTGAGCCATGGTCTCGTTTGAGAGGGAGACTCTGATACCACTAATAGAGTTTGAACAAGGTAATTATGAATGGCTTGATTTTATTCATGTGTATGCCACACTTATATATACAAGCACACAAGTACAAACCTAGTAATCCTATTACAAAAGGAAACATAATATAATATACACTAAATCAAAGATTGACACCAAATCAAAGATTGACATAAATAAGGAGTAAGAATTGCTCATGAAGAGATTGCGGAGATCTTTTACTTAACAAAAATTAATATTATTAATTTTTTTATATAATTTAATAATTAAAAAGCATATTTATTATATTTTTAATATATACCTTAAAAAGTGCTAGTTAAAAAATTTTATTAAATAATATTCTAATATAAATTATTTTCAACATTCAACAAACTTGGGCCATTTCACGTCATGGCGGATGCTGCCTT